TTTCAAGCAACCGACTTGATGCCACTGAACATGGAATTGAAAAGAGATGGGCACTAATGGCTCCAGCACACCACCATCTAATCCTCAGAACCATTTCTTATCTCCGTGCCTACTGGCACTGTCTCCGGATTTCATCTTGCTTCTCCTCAACACAATAGAGTCTTTATTGACTTCCTGACCTTGTACTCATACCCTACCTCTCTGACATAGTCTCCAAAATACCTCTCTAAAATCCAGGTCTCATTATGCTTCTCCCCTGCCTAAACCTCTTCAGTGGTTCTCCACTGTCCACTCTTTATCTATATACACAAGGCCGTTGATAATTTGGTGCCCACTGACTCTTGGGCTTTGTCTCTTGCCACACCACCACCTACAACCTCTATTCCAATCACACCCACATACATCATATTCTAAGATATATGATACTGCTTCATGCTTCTGCACCTTTGTTTATTCTATTCCTACTCCCTAGGACAACCTTCCCTGATCTGTTCATTGAGTAAGCCTCTTAGGATTCAGCTCAAACTCCTTCTCCAGGAAGCTTTTCCTAAACTCCTTGGTTGGTTTGATGCATCCCACTTTTAGACCTCCAGTACATTCTATCACCTCTAACACCCTTTACTGAAATGTTTTCATATCCATCTCTTCTCCAATTCACCAGACATGAGTTTTTTTTTTTCTTTTCTTCTTTTTTTTTTTTTGGCTCTGTTGGGTCTTTGCTGCTGCGCGGGCTTTCTCTAGTTGCAGTGAGCGGGGGCTACTCTTCGTTGCGGTGCGCGGGCTTCTCACTGTGGTGGCTTCTCTTGTTGCAGAGCACGGGCCTCAGTAGTTGCGGCACGCGGGCTTCAGTAGTTGTGGCTTGCAGGCTCTAGAGGGCAAGCTCAGTAGTTGTGGCGCATGGGCTTAGTTGTTCCGCGGCATATGGGATCTTCCCGGACCAGGGATTGAACCCGTGTCCCCTGAACCGGCAGGTGGACTCTTAACCACTGCACCACCAGGGAAGTCCCTAGACATGCATTTCTTGAAGGCAAGAACTGGATCTTATTTATGGAATACCAAGTATGTAGTATGGTGATGGAACACAGTAGTTTCTCGATAAACAGTGACTCTTATCCCAGCAACTAGCACCCTAAGACCAGTATATACTAATTACTCAAATATTCATTGAATGAAAACATATTGGTAAGTTCTTGCCATCTGCCCAAGCCCAAAGGACTGCTAAGACACCCGACCTATACCTTCTATATTGTCAGGAAGTCCAAGATCTACTGCCATAGTCAAATAACTTGCACTGTATTTTCTTTATTTGCTTCTTGGCCTCTGTATTAGTTTCCTGGGGCTGCCATAACAAAGGACCACATGGCTTAAACAACAAAAACTTATTTTCCTACAGTTATGGGGGCTAGACGTCTGTTACCAGGGTTACTTTCTTCTGAGGCCTCTCTCCTTGGCTTGCAGTTGGCTGTCTTCATGTTCACAAGGCATTCGCCCCCTACATGTATGTCTCCATGTCCAATTTTTCTCTTCTTGTAAATACACCAGTCATATTGGACCAGGGGGCCACCCTGATGACCTCATTTTAACTTAGTTACCTCTTTAAAGATCCTATCTCCAAATATTGTCACATTCTGAGGTACTGGAGATTAGGACTTCAACATACAAATTTTAGGGGGACACAATTCAGTCCATAACAGCTTCCTACTAGACTGTGAGCTTCTCAAGAGGCAGGAGCTATAACTTAGTCTTTTTTTCTTAGTATCTGCTAGGCATAGCAGAGTACCTGGAACACAGCAGATTCTCAAATTATTTGTTGGATACATAAATGAAGGACCTTCCAGGAGTGTAGTCCAAATCTATGGAGTGAGGTCCCTTCCAAATTTGGTGGCCAGCACCAAGAAGAATATGGCTTTAGCCTTTCCCTGAAAGAAAGTTAGATACTGTCATGGTCTCCAGATAGCCCACTGCCAAACAGCCATCTATATAGCACCCAAAACTTAGTAGAATAATAAAATCCTTAAGACTAGACACCCAAAGCCAGTTGACAATACCCTCCTCCCTCCAGACTCATTCTGATACACCAGACTGACAGCACCATGCATGGATAGAGTCAGATTCAAAGTCAAGAGAAAACAAACACTTCTCTACCTAAAGAACAAGATGTAAAAGCTTAGAGAAATGGTTAAATGGACATCTGCCTTTTCCTACCCAAAAGGAAACTTCCTCCCCTTCACTGTTCTGTGTGATTTTGGTGGGCCTGTCAGTTATGTAGTCTGCCTTCCCCACTATCAAGACAGACACACGACCTAATAAGTAACCCCCTCCCAGGAATCTGAATCCTAAGTGGGGTAACATGAAGACAAGAAATAACCAGAGGGAGTCAATTAAGCCAGTACCATGAAGGGTTCCTGGTTCACACATCCCTGAAACAGCCTCAGTTCCTACCTTTCCAAGACTTGATTAAACTGTCTTTGTTTCTGAGACCTACTTGATAGTCTTTCCCAAAAATGTCTTTTCCTTAAATTAGATAGTGCTTATTCTGTAGCTCCCAAAGAATCTTGACACATATGGTGGCCCCTAGAAGTGGGGTGTGCGTAGTGGTGGATGTAAAATATGGAAATAAAACAGGCAGTAAGGATTCCCTCATCAGCGGTTAAGAAGTTGTGTTCATCATACCTGCTATGCCAGCACAAAGAAGCCAACTACATTATTCCCTCCTATATTTTGGGACACAGTCCACATGCCTCCCCAGGCTAAATCTTTGGGAAGCTGATAGGAAAATCTCAAGATACTGGAGTGTGTGGCTATTTCTGACAGCTTTTGGTTAAGTCCAAGAAATCACTTAGGCCATCTTGGCTGAAGCTATCTGAATGCAAAGAAGACAATTCTGCCTCATGTAGACTGGCCCTTTCTCCCGGTAGGAATCTATGATGACAGAGTCAGATGATGAAGGACTTTAAATTTGAATCAATGAATCAGTGAAAATGCTAGAAAAACACAGGAAGGAAGGAAACATAGCAAAAGATAAGATTGGGGTGGAGAGAATGGGGCCAAGATTGGTCCCCCAAGTGCCTCCTGATATATATTCCCTCCCTGGCAAAGAGCTAAGTGCTGAAATAAGGCCACAGGGTAAGGAACAAGCTAGCGTTGCCTTTATCCTAGAGTCAAAAAGATAGGCACCAAAATTAAGGGCTGAAGGGTGGGCAGAGAAGCAAGGCCTACTTCTAAGAGAAATCCCCGGGCTAGGGCCCAGAGGCAAACATTGATCTACAGAGTGAAAAATGCATGTAGACCAGCAGGTGTTACATTGAGTTAAGCTGCCATTGAAACCATGGAAAATAAAAACTTGTCACTGCCCCAAAATCAATCTCCAGGTATCCTAACTCATACTACCAGAATGTGAGCTGCCTGAAATAATATACCCCCATTAGGAAAATCCTTTTCAAATTTGTCCATGGAATTCATATGAAGCAAAAGAGCAAGTTCAGCCATTGCAGACACATAAGGCAGTGAAGTACACCAGTCCATACATGTATCTCAAATATGGAAGGAAAAAATCTAATCATGGAACAATAATAGCTAAATACAATGAGCTCTGTAACGTCCAAGACTATTACCAACCTAACATCCAAGTTAAGGTGTACCAGCAACTTTCTACAAAAAAACACAGGGACCACACAGTTTATATGCAGACAAGGAAAAACAGGAAGAGATCAACTCTGGAAAACAGATTCTACGGTAGAAATAAATGTAGAAAGAAATTATATTTCTTGAGCTGTACTAAGAGAATAACTTTGATTTACAAAGCACCTAAATCAGATACTCTTTATTTCAAACTGCCTACATCCTATTAGTTTATATGCTGTGATACCTGGGAAGTTGGTTACCAAATAAAGCCATTTCAAAAGGGGCTGCTGGATAGAACTCTGCGTGCTGGCCCACCTTCCTCTGTGGGAAGTGAGCTCAGATGCTGTGATGTACCATGCAGAACCACAGTATCTGCGGCAGTGGTTCCTAGAATGGTCCCTCCAGGAGCACTACTGGCATAAGGCATCCTTTTCTTACATCTTCTTGGAACTCTGTCATCCACAAGCAATACCACCTACACTCCATTTCTATTAAATGGCACAGAATCGCTTGAAAGCAGAGAAAGTGTTTCAATTTCGTATGGCTAGGATCTGCCCCTTACTTGCTTAGGGTGGGGAAATGTAATTGCCCAGACCTACTGCATTCACCCATCATTGTCATTAACTGCCCTGAGAAAGGCCATTAGAGACAAACTATAAGGACTATTTATGTTTTGTGAGCAAAGGAGAAAGAACATAAGGTGGGTGGAGTCACAGATGAGCAAGGGCGGGCTGAGAATGATTCTGCTGAAGATATTTTAACACTGATGAACACTAGGCCATCATTTGGCTGATTAAAATAGTTCTGGGCAGTGAGAGAGAAGCTGGCACATTCTCCTGTGGATGAGATAGCCCTAGGGGTTTGAACAGCAGTTGGAACACAGCTGCCATGGCTAAAACCAAGCAAGTACAGATGTCACACCAAAGTAGAAGCAATTTCATACCATCCCACACTGCCAAGTTCAAAATGCCAATGGAGGAAAAGTATTGAAGGCAGTCTTTAAAATAGACCAAATAACTACTTTAAATACCAATTCTGTGTGTAACTAAAATTTTTGCTGTTGAGGTCCATGAGTGACAGATACCACTGTTTAGAGAGCTCAGTCAAAAAGCTCCCTGCTCAGCAAGATGAACGCAATACAAGGTGCTGCTCTTCGAGCTTGGAGCAAATTGAGTCACTATACATGACACTTTATAACTCCAAAATGTCTTTTTAAGAAAATGTCCTTCTAGGTAATCTTTTTCTCCTTCAATGGTTGTTTTCCTTATAGGTAGAGCTTATCTATCACTTCCTACGTTCTTAACTGATATACAAAAGCACATGGCACCATATCTCAGTACTCATTTCCCTGAGAAAGATAAGCCAAACCGACTTACCAAAGGCCTTCTTAGGTTCTATTAACTTCAAGGTAAAGAGTTCCTCTTTTTTTAATTCCTTTAACTTCTTAGCAACATCAAAGTGACGCCACCCAAGGATAGTTTCTCCATTGATGGCTTCAATGTGATCCCCCACACAGATTGTTTTAACTGAGTCAACTATGCTGCCATCTTTAATTCTCTGAAAGAAAATGAAGGGTAATACTTAATATAAAATAGCACTGTGTAACATTACTTATCATGCTCTTGAGACATTACATACAATATACTGACATATCAACAAGGCAGTTTAATGTTCAGTTAAAGACAGAAGCCCAAACAACAAAGACAACCATCCTACTCCCAACCATTCTTCTTTATCATTCAGAATTCAGCTTCCATCACAGTCACCACCTCCTCTGAGTAGCTTTTCCTGACACCACCCAGCCCACTCCAAGACTAGGTAAGGTGTCACTCTCATGTAGTACTTTCTGCTACATAAGTTGAGCTCTAAGCTAGGTACTTTACATTCGCCATCTCAATTAATTTTAACAAACTTTATGAGAGTCTCATGTCTTGATCAGAAGATCAAGGAATTTGCCAGGTTCAACAAACCATACTGCAACTGTTCATTTATCGCTCAGTCTCCACTACTGAACTGTAATATCCTTGGGGACAGAGATGGTCTTCTTCACCACTGCCCTGTGCCTAGCACATCTGCACAGAAAAGTCCCTCCATAAATGATTGTTGAATCATTTCAACATGAGGCCCATTACATCAGAATAAAGCTTGAGCTTTTTCTACCAGCTACAGTTTTTAAACCTTAGTTACAAATGCAAGACAAGAATTGGTAGTTAAGAATATTGATACTTGGGCTTCCCTGGTGGCGCAGTGGTTGAGAGTCCGCCTGCCGATGCAGGGGACACGGGTCCGTGCCCCTGTCCGGGAAGATCCCACATGCCGCGGAGCGGCTGGGCCGGTGAGCCACGGCCACTGAGCCTGCGCGTCCGGAGCCTGTGCTCCGCAACGGGAGAGGCCACAACAGTGAGAGGCCCGCGTA